TGGATTTAAACTTCAATACTGATCTTAATATGGATACTGCCTGAATACATAGATAGGAATTGTTTGATGATTGCATGTGTGTGTATACTGCTTGCTCTTTTTTTTGGTCCTTTCCCACAATTTCTGAACAAAAATAAAATAACAATAGTGTTTTAAGTATCTATAAGATAGGTTGCCAGGCAACGAAACATTTGCCCAAGGCAGCTCACTCTGACAGCGTTGAAGACCAATAGGCTTCTTTGTGTCATAATCATATAAAACACAGTGTATAAATTTCAAGTCAATTAAATGATAATTTTAGACTTTTGAGTGTTCACTAGATTTTTCATCTTGGTCAAAGGTGATAACTGTGACAGTAATTATGGAAATCATTGAAGTTCAATAGGATTCTTTATCTGGTAGTACAGTATGAATTTCAAGCCAATTACACCTACAAGCAATGTGCATGAAGGATGGGAATGATGACGATATAACAATGTCTAAAAAGCTGTCTTCTTGTCTGCGTAATCACCCTAGGTCGGAGCTGAATTACACCCCAAGCACAAACGAATGAAGAAGTTGTCTTGCTATCGTTGATCTGCGTGTCAAACAGTTGGATTGTCTTCAGAAAGGACAAAATTTGGAAGGAAAAGTTTAGAAGGTGTACAGGTAATACCCAAGTAACAGGGTATATACTGATACAAATCATAGAGCTTTGGCTAGTTGGTGAGACTATGATCCAAACAAAAGAAGTCCCTGGTAATGAGTAGAAAATAGCAAAATCCTATGGACCAATTTAGGGGCGGATCCAGAGGGGGGTATGGGGGGGTCGACCCCCCCCTCCCCCCCCTGCTCAGCTACATTTTTTTTTTTTTTTTTTGTAAATCAACAATTTTTATGATAAAAGTTTTTCGGCTTTATCGTCAGATGTGGGACAGGATGGGCACTCAAAGCACGAGATAATGATATAGACATTATGTGATATCACAATTAATGCTTTGCATCTATGAAATTGAATCACAATGTTATTGTATTAATTCATAATAAAAATATAAGTCAGACGAGGTGTTGAATTTCTCAATGTGTATGTATATACGCCAAAATGACGATAGAGACCATGCGGGAGGGGGGGAGATACATTGTCTCAGGAACCTGGCAAACCCCCTCCTGCAAAAATTCCTGGATCCGCCCCTGCAATTGTTAAAATAAAATCATTTTCCAAAAGTGGTACCAGTTGTTTCATAATGGGTAAGTACACTTTGCTCCCCATATGATACCTGCAATGTATTCAGATTCCGATTTAAAATGAATCAGTCATATAAAAACTGAAACCATTAGTATTAAATATACAAATCGGTGATGATATCAGCCACATACAATCAGCAGGGACCTTATTACAATATAAAACCATTTATATTTTCATAAAGTTTGGTCATTTCTCATGAAATTGTCATAAAAAGGAAAAATATCATAAAAAATATAAAACTCCACTATTTTTCATCAAATGAGACGAAAACATTTTCAAAATATAAAACTAACCATAAATCGCTACTCCCAAAAATAAATATCTATACCGGTACTAATAAATCTGAATGTGAATAAGAAAATCATCCATGCATTTTATGACCCCCAGCTTGCTGCTCTCTTTCATTTTCTATTTGACAGTGTTCAGTCAATGTTATGTGGGTATATGAACACAGAGTCCAGGGCTGGGGTAATGGTAATGGGTAATGGTAATGGAATGTAATCATTACATTTTTTAAGTAATGGTCATGTAATGAGTAATGGAAGATTTCATTTACAACACACTAAAATCTGATTATGAGTAACAACCCATTTGGCTTCTAGTTTTACCCTATTCTAACATTTAGTATATAAAACATTAAATATCAATTGCCATAATCATCGGAAATCATGGAAAGCCGATAGGCTTCTTAGTGCCCATGATTCAAATTTCTTTAATCATAAAACATCAACTAAGCGCAGGCACTGAACAACGCAGTTACAGTATGCAAAGTTGTGGGGGTGGTGCATCACTGAAACTTTTGCCCTGGGTGCCACATAGGCTTGCGAGGGCTCTGTATGAACATAGATGACTGCGACCATCAATACCACCAGTGCTACTGGTGAGACGTTCTTATCTGCATAACACTGGCTGAACACTACTTCATGGACCAGAGACTAGTTATTTACTGTCAGTACAGTTATATATACATAAAAAAAAATCATAATATTTGATAATGATAAAAACATGAAATGTGATAGAAACATTATAAAAATATAAAATTTGATAAAAACATCATAAAGATCATAAAATTACACTAGAAGCTTTCATAAAAATATAAAATTTTGACAAAAATCTGTGTATGGTCCCTGTATCAGACTTATAATTAGTGCCACAGTGACAACCATAAGTAAAGGTTTATGAAAGCCTTCCATGCAGAAGTAAAGAAGAATAATGGAGACATTAGTATATACTTTTACATTGTCTATTAGCTGTTTAGGCTCTTTTAAGGTTAAATTCACTAAAATGTATCTGGGACAGTCCCTTTGAAATTAATATACCACCAGAAAACGCAAATGAAAGGGAAAAGTTAGCCAAATAAATCAACTGCCAGAGTAAATTGTTATAACCTTAAAAAGGCCTAAACAGCTAAGAGACAATGTAAAAGTGTATAATAATGTCTGAATTGTGTATATGAATGTAGCATGTATCGGTTCTTCACATGCATCCTTATAAATTATTCTGAGATATTTATGCAAGTGTTCTAAGAATGACATCTACTGAAAATAAAAGTTGTTTCTGCTGAGATAACTACTCAACACCTGATTAAAGAATGCCCATTGGGAGGATAGTTTGATTTGATGCAGATGTAAATAAGTAATAGAGCAGGTGCTGTGGGTTAACCAGGATGTCAACAAGATCACGACCCCAACACTATTCCTACCCTCTACTGATAATAAGCAATCTTAACTAATGCTCCCTGCTAGCCGAAATATAAGACTACAGCAGGATGCATCATTCTTCTCATACTTCCCCTACCAAGAGAAAACAAAACAAAAAAAACCTCTTTCCTTGAAAACTGAGTGGTTATATTTGTTTGTTTGGTACACAGAGAACATGTGGGAATGATAATAAATGTAAAACCTAGTGGTCAATTGGCCTTATATTTGATGGTCCAGAAGATAGAGTGTTTTCTAATGATACTTGGATAGTGTATCTATGAGGCTCATCTCATCAGATGCTATCTACAAGCACACACTTCCTTTCAATCAATTTGGTATTTAGGATTAAGTGACTGTCTGCTCAGTTTACCCCTCTCGTGGCAACTTTACTTGTTGTACATCTACTTTTACATGTTTCTAGACACAGATAATTATTACCCCAGGCTTAATCAATAGAAGTCTTTTATCTTCTAGTAGATATATAACAAAGTAAATCCCTGAGGCTTTAAATACATGTATTGGGTCCATATTTATGATACTCCCACCACAATAGTGAGCTTTATGTAGATCTTTGAAATTATCTTAGTTCCCCCAAAATAATTAAAACCTAATGTTTGGTAAAACACCAACATATGATGAGATATACTTTACACTGCAGAACCCCAAATCTTTTCATCTCACATATACAAAAGTTACTTTTTATACGCCCACATTTTCATGTGGATGTATATTGTCGTTGCAACTTCTGTCAGCAATTTGTTTGTCCACAATTTGTTTGTGGACACTCTACAGGTCACAATTTTTATTCAATTTTGACGAAACTTAAAATATAGGTCTATCTCCCAAAGATCTTGGTTCCTTTCAATATTGACATATATTGGACCATAACTTCATTGATTATGGCCCCTGATTGTACTGAAAATCGTGTTTTTACCTTGTGGTACCTCTAGAGGTCGCATTTATTATCTGATTTAAAAAAACCTTCCAATATATCACCGTTATACTGTAATGAAGCTGGAGTTCAAATTTGAGTGAAAATGCCCCCCCCCCACCATACGCAAATCGTGTAAAAATATGGTATGTAAAGGTTGTGGACCCTCTAAGGTCATAATTTTGATATGATTTTTGAACCTTGAAATACATGTTTATAACCCAAAGATCTTGGTTTCTTTCGATATTCGCGCATATCGAATCGTAACTTTCTGAATTATGGCCCTTGATTGTTCGAAAAATTATGTTTTTAGCTTGTGGTCCCTCTAAAGGTAACGATTTTTATTTGACTTAAAAAAAAAACGTTTTGATATAGCGCCGTTACACCCTAATGATGGCTCAGTACGAATTTTCTAAAAATCAAACCAAAACTGCCGGACAAAATGGCCGCCCCTCGTACGCAAATAGTGTAAATATATGGTATATCAAGGTTGTGGACCCTCTAGAGGTCATAATTTTGATCCAGTTCTGATGAAACTTGAAATACATGTTTATAACCCAAAGATCTTGGTTCCTTTCAATATTTCTCCCTGAATTATGGCCCTTGATTGTACGAAAATTCACGTTTTTAGTTTGTGGTCCCTCTAGAGGTCACAAAATTTATCCGATTGAAAAAAACGTTTACATATATCACCGTTACACCCTAGTGACAGCGGAGTTCGAATTTCGTGAAAATGGGACCAAAACTGCCGGACAAAATGGCTGTCCCTCATACCTAAATAGGGTAAATATATGGTATGTCAAGATTGTGGACCCTCTAGAAGTTACAATTTTGATCTGATTTTGATGAGACTTGAAATACATGTTTATAACCCAAAGATCTTGGTTTCTGTCGATATTCAGATCATAACTTCCTGAATTATGGCTCTTGATTGTACGAAAAATCGCTTTTTGTTTAGCTTGTTCTCTATCCATCTCTTGCAAAATGTGGGTGTATCTTGCCTGGCAGCCGCTGGTTGTTCACTGTTATACAGTATATATTATTGTATCAACAGTGTTGTCAGTAGTATTGTCATTGTAACAATCTTGTTGAAAATTCTACTTTGATGTAAATATACAAGTTTTTACAAGAATCTATACCTTACCTTATTTAAGATTAGATATATCCTATTTAAAACTGTTGAGAAGAAATTAACATCTGTGCAAACACTACAAAGTATATCAGCAGTCAGTCCATACTGTTTATGTCAAACAAGTCCTACCTTAGGATTAGTTCAACTCGGTATAGTATTGTCACCTTGATACTAAACTGGGGCTCACTTGTTGAACATGTCCTATGTACACTTAAAACCATTATAAACTAAATGACAATAAGGGCTGATTGAAAGGGTATCAAAACACTTCTAAACTTTCAACAGTAGCTTAATGATATGCAGGTAAACAGGTCATTTCAAATCTTCTGTAACACCTGTATGTGGGGGATTTTCTAGGTGAGATACCCTATTGTTGGGAGACTGTAACACGACCCTGCAATAATGATTGTAAGTGTTAATAGCTTTAAGAGAAGATAAATTGCCCTGTATGTTTTATGCCTCAATAATTTGTGTGTCTATTGACTGATTTTAAGGGTTAATGTCCGCTTCCATCAAGGGCAATAGCAGACAATATTGACTGATCAGTGTCCAATAGAAGTTAAGAGAAATGTTACATTATCATGAAACGATGGACTTTAAGGGGGTATTGGGCAAAACTAAATATGTAATATAATCTATTTATTGATAAAATTCTGCAATTTATTTCAATAAAACAAAACTATGAACCCTTAGGAGTGGGGTAGCCAAAATGTTTATGATTGGGGGGGGGGGGAGTGCAACCTAAAGGGTGATTGTGGCAGGGGCTCCCCCTGAGAAATTTTGAACATCTGAGTCAATTTCCTGGCATTTGAGGTCATTGCTGAGAAATGGGAGAAATTGCGAGATCTTCCTGTCAATTCATTCATTTGTACAGTCTATCGCCCCACGACCATCGCATTAGTGGTACTACAGAGGAGTGGAAGAATGATGGCATAGTGGAAACAAGTGCCGTAGGTGTAAAAAAAAATTCAGATAGCATTGTATAATATGTAACTGAGTATATATTTATTGGGACCGGGTCTGAAAATTTTAGTCAATTTCCTGGCATTGGAGTTCATTGATGGGAGCAAATTCTTGTGAACGAGAGGATCAGACATGGGACATAATCTCAAGACCTGCCTGTCAATTCCGCCTGTTTTGTGATAGTTGACAGAACATGTGGTATTACTAACTGGGCGTTTCATGATAACCGTAAATATGATAGTGAAGGGATGGTAGAAGACCACAACGGAGTGGTAGAATGATGACATTATGGAATGGAACGCCATAGGTACAAAACTTTTTCAGATAGCAACACATAATATAAAATATACTGAGCTTACTTTGAATTCGCTCCTGACTGCTATTTATACTAAGCAGCAAAAGAAACGTCAGGTTGGTACTCTGAATAAAACTTGCCAAATCTTTTTATTGTATATTTGCTGCACGTGCTGTTAACTGGGACCAGCCGTATAAAATGCACCCCAATACCTGGTTGAATCATTCACACTACAATGTCAGCAGCATGCCATGACTAACGACAGCTCAGAGGAACCAGGCGCTTGGAAGAGTCGACGCTGGCCACACTGGCCAAGCATTTGCGAAACACTTCCAGGTCAATGTTCGGACCATCTACAGGCTTCAGCAACGCTTTTGGGCCACCAACACTACGGATGATCGGCCCCGCACTGGTAGACCAAGGGGTTACCACAAGGTGACAAGACCGCCATGTTGTGCGACAGCACATGCAGAATCCCTTCACACAGGCATCCGAGACAGCACATCAGACAGTGGGAACACACGGAAGACCCATCAGTACCGATACAGTGCGGCGACGTCTCACCAGAGAGAACATCCATTGCCGTAGACCTTACCGTGGACCGATCCTCACCCCTCGCCATCAATGTGAACGTCTTCAGTTTGCCCAACAACACCAGAACTGACGACACAGGCAATGGAGAACTGTTCTGTTCACAGATGAGTCGGTATTGCGTATCAACTGCAGATGGCAGGACCAGAATATGGCGTTGACATGACCAGCGTTATTCTAACCAATGTATCATGGAACGAGACTCATGGGGAGGTCCAAGCATAATGGTTTGGTGTGGAATCGGCCTGAACCAGAGAGTGGCATCACAGCAGTGCGCTACATCGATCAAGCTCTCAGATCCCACATCATTTCAGCATGTCATCAAAACAACGTTTTCCAGCATGACGACGCCCATGCCTACACTGCCAGAGTTAATCCGGGACTTTCTACAGCATAATGGTGTCAACGTTATGCACTGGCCAGCCCTTAGTCCGGACTTAAACCAAATTGATCATCTTTGGGATGAAATTCAGAGGTGACTTAATAACGTCGTACCGAGACCAAACACAGCCGATGGATTGCGCCAGGCTTTTCTGAGAGTGTGGTTCCAGGTGCCAATGGCGTTCATCAATCGCCTGGTCCACCCCATGTACAGACCCTGCGCTGCTGTTATTGACACTTGCGGTGGGCACACCAGATACTGATGTTTAGACTGTGTACAGACTCTAAACCTTCTCATAATGTCTTGGAATTGTGATGTATTAATCACTAATGTGTCATCATAATGTTCACAAATAATTGCTTTGATCCATTTAGGAAGTTGTTTTCTAGAATGATTTGATTAAAGTGCCTCTCTGATTTTGAAATTGTACTGACATTTTTTTTGCTGTTTAGTATATTTTTACTTCTTAAAGAAAATGAGAGGAAATAGAAGGTTATTCTTAAAATACATGGTTAATACACAGATTGTCTGCTGTTGGTATAACATGACTACAGCTTTTACAAGGTCCCTGCATAGTGGGTGACAATATTTCTCCCCTGTGTAATGAAAACTTTGTAACAACCATACAGGAATGTTTAACTCATTAGTTTACCATTTTATAGTTTCTACACGTTTATAATAGAGCAGCACCATGGTTTTATTTCTCTCACTACTGCATAAATGATGCAAATGCTTCTATTATTTTGAAATATTTCCTCAGGTATTTGACCTAAACGGGTACCAGCATTGCGCCCTGGCTAGAGTTATTTTTTAGACACACTAACATGTACACAGAACCTCTGTCTTTAGTCCCATATTTACGACTAGATTCTTTTCCTTGCCAGGCCCTCTGTTCTGCATAAACACGATTGAAAGTGTATATTCTTATCAGCCCCTTCATATCAGGGGGAATGGAACTGCAGAATCAAAATATAGAGTATCAGATTACGTCACAACAGGTCATGGAGGTTGTCTTTAGTTACCATCAAACACTCCCAAAGGTGCCATTGGTATTTACCAAGTAATCAAGGAGAATCCAGTAAAACTTACAGTATTCTATGAGGTCTGTTTTAGCTTCTAGCCAGGAAGAACTTGCTGACAGATTGAAAACCTTAATGGAGGGTAAAGAGGCAGTTATTGTGTTTGGGTTTCATCAAGATGTCATTGAAATTCCCTTGATCATTAATTAATGTACACTTGCTTTACATCAACAAGTAATTCCATGAAGTAAAGGTGACCAGTTTTGGTGGTCTGGTGTTTGTATTTGTCATGTTGCATTAAATGGGAATGTACTCATATAAGATAAACAAACCATATATGAAGGCACCAAATAAAATGTTTTCTTATATTGATCTCTGTAAAATAAAGATAATGAATAAAAAGTGAAGTTGATAACTCTCTTGTGTTATGTGTGGAACGCTTCACAGGAAAGTTAAACCTACAAGACAATGTTATGTTGTAGGCCTATAGGCTATAGGAGCTTTTATGTGTGACGTATTTCCGGTGTCTATTTTAGGCTCTGGAAGACTGGCCGTATTCTTCATGTGTCTTAACATGGTAAATGGTAGGGAAAACGAGGTTAAAGTCTTTTTCTCTTAATAGAAAACGTATACTTGAATGCCACTCTTGTTGTAAGTTGTACATAGCATTCGTAACAAATTACTGATTTTAAATCATCTCAAAATTATTTTGTTGGTTATTTAAATGACGATATACTGCGCTGTAGCAGACGATTTGTCAACCTCGTGTACAGTACGGTCAACCGCAGTATATAAAAGCATAAACCATGATGCATTGCTGTATGAAGCCAATTTATATGTTTTGTGTTAATTTACTGCAAGCAATTAATATACTCTTCAAAAAAAGTGGGGGATATTGAAATGCAAATACCTGTGCAGGTTGGGATATGATAAATAGTCATGGACACTTGACATGCTTTGAAAGTATGTTCACAGATGAAGAACTTATCGCCCCAACAGAATCACTGAGCTGCATGTGCGACACGCAATAGTACCATATTCGTGGGAGGGGTTCATTGTCAAATTTGACACTTCAAGGAAGGGTTGATGAAAATTGCCACTTGCTGGTTTATCCTATCCATGTTTGCTTTCCTATTGGTCCTAGTATAAGATTTACTGTTTAGCGTATCTTTGCTTTAGTGTGTTACGTTTAATTTGATGTTCATCGACATCAACATCAACTGACAACACTGCAAGAATTGGCTGTGGCACTGCAAGAGGAGTGGGTCAGATTGACCCAAATCGTGATTGGACTGTTGGTTAGGAGCATTGCTGAATGTCTGAGGATTGGTGGAGCAATTACTCATTATTATTAAGACAAAAATAACGTGTATTTTCACTTTTGACAGTGTATCACTTTGCGAGTGAAATGGGGCTGTTAGATAAGCCGCCCATTCGAACTGTTTATGTTCATGTGTAGGCAATTGGCCTGTTATTAACATCCACTGGTTACCTCTAATAAAAACAGCAGTGTATTTCTGCAGTTTTGTATTGTTTCTGAATAACCCCTACTTTTTTTTTGAATAGTATAGATAACATCTGTTTAGGTGAAAAATGCCAGGAAATAGAGCATTAGAGTTAGAAAGAATTAAAGACTATTTCAAAATTTGTGTGGCCGTTGCAAATTTAAAAAAAAATTATAATCACTTTGGAAATAAAAATAATTCGATAAAGAATACATCGAAACCAATTATATATTTTCATTCAACAATCTATCTCTGATCCAATACTGAATTTGAAATTTTGATAAAATTGGTTGCGACGATGGAGATAAACTGACTGAATTAAAATTTCACCAATTGCCAAAAGCTGAACCAAGACGATGACTATCTATGGTTACACAAAATTAGCAGAAACATCTCAAAAAGGTTTTTTAAAAATTATTCACTGATTCAACATAATCATCATTTTATTATGTCTCTTATTCATATTCTGTCAAGGTGGCATTTTATAAAAATGGCTGAATTTTCACTCTGTGCACCAAACAACTATTTTGTCATTGGTTGGAGCCGTCTAAACACGGGAAAACTGACAGTAGCGATTGGATTAACATCATCACGAAGGCAAACATTCTTATTTGCATACTGCATTTTTTATAGTATTATTGGGCTTGAATTATTTTTAGATCGACAACCTCAATGACCAACATGTAGTACCGTGTAGTACTGACAGGGTGCCTGTAGCATGCTATATAGCAGACGA